TATGGATTGAGTGTTTATATATGGCAGGCCCTGTGCTATGCTCCTTCATATGCATGAACTCATTTAATCCTAAACTAATGCAATGAAGGAAATACTATTATTACCTCCATCTGACAATGAGGAAACTGAGGCACAGAGAGTTTGCATAACTTGCTCAAGGCTGGACGAGGGTGAGATGAGTGAGGTGAGTCATGCAAACTCAAATCGTGTCTTTACTTAAAATTTTGATATTTGGGGGCACCTGGGTGGCTCAGTCAGTTAAGCCTCTGAGTCTTGGTTTCAGGTAGGGTCATAGTCTCACGGTGGTGAGATTGAACCCCTCATTGGGCTCCACACCCAGCATGGAGTCTGCTTAAGTTTCTCTCTCTCCCTCTGCTCCAGCCCCCTGGGCACTGTCTCTCTCTCTCTCTCAAATAAATACATAAAGATTTATTTATGTATTTATTTGAGAGAGGAGAAGAGGCAGAGGGAGAAAGAGAATCTCAAGCAGACCCCAAGGGCTCAGTCCAAAGACCTGAGATCACGACCTGAGCCAAACCCAAGAGTCAGACATTTAACCAGCTGAACCATCCAGGTGCCCCTCTAAAATAAATAAATAAATAAAAGCTTTTTAAAATAATCATAAATAAAGTTAAATGTTGATATTTTGCTCATCGCATATTTTTGCCTTAAATTTTATTTTTAGAAGTAGTGCGTTAAAGTATTATTGATCTTGCTTGGTCTTTTGATGGCCCCTTAAATTTTTCACCCTCGTCCTGGCCCTCCAAAATCCCAGCACTAGTAAGGAGAGGATGAATTCCAGTGAAGTTGGCCTCTAGAGTCAGTGAACTACCTTGTTGCAACACTTTTCTGGATCATAAAACTATCAGGCCAGGACACTGTGACATTGGAGAATATCTTTGTGATCTTGGGATGAGGAAACACTTCAAACAAAACTCAAACAGCACAAACCTGATGGGCTTGAACCCATAAAACTGAGGATCCTTTTTTTTTTTTCTTTTAATGAGTCTTTGGGTGTAAAAATGAAGCAGAATAAAATGAATTTATTGACCAAGTTAATTTTCAGAAACGAACTGGAAATCTCATTTTACAGCAGTGGGGCAAACAAAACCAAGCCCAAAATACCTCTGTCACATTGCAGTCATTTGACTAGTGACCCAAGTATATGGTGAGAGATGGCGAGTAAAGGAACGTTGCCTCTCTGAAAGCAGGAAACAAATCTGGGGGAGTTTCAGATGTTATTGTGCATCTGCTGGGGGAGTACCCAGTGGCCACAAGCTCTCCCCTTTTGCCTTCTTAGCTTGAACTGAGCATTCTGTAAACTTTGATCCTTTCTTTCTTTTTCTCTTTCTTTCTTTCTTTCTTTCTTTCTTTCTTTCTTTCTTTCTTTCTTTCTTTCTTTCTTTTTCTTTCTTTCCTTCCTTCCTTCCTTCCTTCCTTCCTTCCTTGTAAATTCACAGAACTCTGAAAGGAAACACAATAAATTTTGCTTTCAAATGGCTCGATCTGTCTCTTTGCCTTTGAAGTGACTTTGAACTGTATGTCTAACTCCTTGTGAGGGAATCCGGAGCCCTCTAGCCCCTGGTCCACGAAACAAACCAGGCAGTGGTCCCCAGCTACGGACCAGACGCAAGACTCGGGTGATACAGCCAGCCATCAGCCAGCCCAATGTGACTTGTAAGCGAAGCAGAGAAAAAAGAGGAAACCAAACAGAAACAGTTTCTATTTTCCGTGTGTGTTCCCAGGATTTTCCTGTTTGTTTTTTTGAGCTGGCCTTGAATGTGAATTTAGAGGAAGCTAAGGAATACCAAGTACTACCAAGAGGAGATCCTAGATTTACACAACAGGTGTGTCATGCCCAGCTGCCCCTTGGCTTTGACGGAGAACAAGGCCAGAGGGTGATTAAACTCTTAGGAAGGGTGGGATGATCCCTCAGGAAACACACTTCTAGATCAGCTGGAGATGGCAGGCCTCAAGGTAAGAGGACTTATGTTAGGTGCTCTGTAAGAACACAGGAGATGTCTGGGCACCCGGGTGGTTCAATCAGTTAAGCGTCGGTGTTTCGGCTCAGGTCATGATCCCAGGGTTCTGGGATGGAGCCCTGTATCAGCCTCCCTGCTCAGCAAGGAGTCTGCTTCTCCCTCTGCCACTCTCCCTGCTTGTGTTCTCTTTCTCCCTCTCTCTCTCTATTTCAAATAAATAAAAATAAAGTAAATATTGAAGACTAAGGTTTGGAAAGAGAATAAGTAAGGAATGTTGAAAAAAAAAAAAAAAAAAACTCTTCTGGGCTGACCCGTTCAAGACAGAAACAAAACACCTTCCAGTTTAACCCATTTCTGACAAAAAGTCATACCAGGGCTGATCCTTGAGGAAAAGTTAAGCTTAAACCTCTCCCAGGGAAGCCTGGCTGGCTCGGTTGGTAGGGCGTCCAACCCCTTGATCTCAGGGTAGTAAGTTTGAGCCTCACATTGGAGAAGGCCTCCAAGAGGAATGTGGAGAGAACTGGAATTTGAGTTGTCATGGTGTGAACGGAGTAGAAGAGGGCATGGGGTGCAGATCCCCCCCGCAGCCTCATTTGGAGAAGGCCTATGTGGCAATGGGCCAGAAAGGAAGCTGAAACAGAAGCCACCAAACAGGACGGGTGTCATGGGGCAGACAGTCTTTGAACGCCTAGGTATTCTTCAGCAGGTTTTTCAAGTGAGCCCCGGGGAGAATTCTTGGGGCACCCCCTGCAGGTCAATGAGGGAGAGTGCTAGGCCTGAGAGAGGAAATCGAGGCGCATCCCAGTAGCCACTTCTGGGCAGCGCTGGTACCTGGAGCCCCCATCATCTATTGGTTGAGACCCAGCAGGAGCCAAGGCCGTGCTCCCCGAGGATGCCCATGAGTGACGTGGGCCCCAGCCAGCACTCCATCCCAGGATTCCGAGCATTGTTAACCAAGGGAAGCTTAGACAAATAAGGAGACAAACCGGGGAAGAGATCGGCACAACACCAAGGCATTGATTGCTACTTACCCATGTATAGACATGCAGATCGGCAGAAAGAAGGCCAGAAACCCAATAGGAAAAATGGACAAAGGATATGAACGCTGTTCACAGAAGAGGGAAGCCCCACGACTGCCAAGTCCATGAAGAGCTATTCAAATTCCCCAGTTGTCAGAGGACCCAGAGGGAAATCAGGAACCCTTTTAGATTCATCAGACTAGTAAAACTAGTAAGTTTTCGAAAGCTGGACTACCAAGTGCTAAGAGAAAACCAGAACCCTCACGGTGAGTGTGATAATCCATACATTTGTAAAGTCAAGGGGGCCTGTACCCTATGGCCTGGCAGTCCTACTTCAAGAATCTTCTCACTGTCCATCAGAAGGTAGCGTGAAGGTGTTCATGACACTGATGCGACGGGGCATTGAGACCGAGCTAAGCGGGCCTCCCCGAAGGATGTCGTGGATAATAAAAGTGTTGGATGTCCAACGTGGTACGCCGCATGCGACTGGCAGAAGAAACAAAGGAGAGACGTGTAGACACCACGAGTGTGGAGTGTACAAATGCAAAAATGTAAACAGCAGAAGGAGTTTTATACATGGCACCTGTAGATCGCAAACATGCACGTGGCAGCCGAGCCACGTGTAGAGAACTGAGCGGGATGCACGGAGGCTGACTGCCCATGCTGAGAGGGCCCCGATTCAGGGCAGTGATGTGTCCTAAACCGAGAAGTAGGACTCTGTCCGTGAGGTTGCAGAATGAAGCGTGGGCAGTGGAGGGTCAGCACGCCGGGTCCCCAGTTCCACCACCTGTGAGCATTTGGGATTTGGGCAAAGCATTCACTCACTCAGTTCAAAGCATTCATTCATTCATTCATTCAGACACTGTGGACACAGTGGTGAGTAAAACCAGGTAAAATAAGTTAACTTTAAGCAAGTGCTGTGTAATGTGAAGCTGACTTTAGATGGCGTAGTCAGGGATGGAACCCATGAGAGGTGACATTTGAACAAGGACACTGATGATAAAGACCCAGTTGTGAAAGAGCCAGGTTAAGTGCTTTCCAGGTATAGAGCACGTGCAAAGGCCCTAAGGTTGGCCTGTGCTGCAGAGGGTAGGTGAAGGAGGGGCAGAGGAGGCTTGATGAGATTCGGTACCTAGAGGGACCAGAGCGTTCACAGCTTTGTGGGCCTTAGTCAGAAAGACCTCAGCCACAATGGAAAACCAAGGGACAGTTTTATACAGACGACTTAACCCATACTTTTTTTTTTTTTTTTTTTTTTTAATTTAGGAATAACACACAGAGAGGGGCACCTGGGTGGCTCAGTTCTTAAGTGGCCAACTCTTGGTTTCTGCTCAGGTCATGATCTCTGAGTCCTGGGACCAGGCGACCTGCGACTCCTCGCTCAGTGGGGTCTGCTTGCCGATTTTCTCTCTCTCTCCCTCTGCCCCCCACCCCCGCTCGCGCCCTGGCGCCCTCTCTCAAATAAACCTTTCTTAAAAATAACACACAGAGAAAAAGATCAGATATATTTTAAAAGATCACTTTGGCTGCTGAGTAGAGACTGGGTTGGAGGAGCAGAAGCCACATAAGCTTTCTGAGCCTCAGTTTCCATATCTGCGGGGGTAAGTCTACCCATCCCATGCAGATCCGCGGTGAGTCAGGGTGGGGACACAGTCTGGACCCTGGAGTCTCCTTGGCCCTGGAGGCGCGGGGTGGGATGCAGAAGGCCCCATCTTGGGCCTGGGCGGCTGGCGTCTGGCTGCCTCTCCAAGCCCCTGACATAGACCCAGGGATTGCCTCGAGTACGGCGCCCGCTGGGAGGCGCCACGGCCCCTGTGCGGTCCCCAAAGGAGGCCCCGTCCACTGGTCCGCTCGGCGCTCGGCAGCTCGGGCCTGCTGTCGGCGAGCAGGGGCGGGGCCGTTACGTGAGGGCGGGGCCTCGGCCAGGGCGCCGGACAGTCGCGCTCCCAAGACTACGGCCCGGGGCGGGGCCTGCGTGCGGGGGCGGGACCGCGGCGCTAGGGACGGGCGGGCTCGGATGGCGGCGGCGAGGGGCGCCTGAGCGGGCCGGGGCCATGAGCGCCGCCCGGCCCCAGTTCAGCATCGATGACGCCTTCGAGCTGTCCTTGGAGGACGCGGGCCCGGGGCCCGAATTCAGCGGGGTCGCCCGCTTCGGGCCGCTGCACTTCGAGCGCCGGGCCCGGTTCGAGGTGGCCGACGAGGACAAGCAGTCCCGGCTGCGCTACCAGGTGAATGGTCCGGCCCAGCCCAACCCCAGCCCGGGTCTGGGCGGGACCCCAGGCCGGACCCTGGAGAGCCCCAACTCAAGGGAAAATCTGTCTAGAGGCCCCAGCCTGCGAGGCCGCTGATCCAGGGCCCAGCCCAGACCCTCTCAGCTCTGATTTTGGTCCCCAGCCACCACTGGAGAACCCAGAACCGGAACCCGGGAGCAAGTCTCCTGGCCCCAACTGGAAATCCCACCCGGTGTTCCCACCCGTTCCTGGATACTGACCTAACCCGCCCTCCCCCGCCCCTTATCCCCCTGGGCTGGAGAGCGCTCTGTACGTCTGATGCAGACTTCCCACTGAACTGGAAATCTCCATTCGCCTTAGAGGACTTCCACCGACTCTAGGGTCCTTTTCTTGGAGACCTGTACCAGATTTCTGTGCCCCAAACCTGGAAACCATGGGCTTCTGCCCCTCCTTGGCACCCCGAATCCAGAGCATCCATACTGGGCCTGTGAAATACCGTTCTGAAAGCTCCACCCTGACTCCCGAACTTGGGAGAACTCCTGGCCCTGGGACCCATGCTAGGAGCCCTCAACCAGCCCCGGTGGCTCCTGCCACCGCCTAGCCCCCCCAAGCCCCCAGCACCCACATCCTACCTGGGTTTCGGTTTGTGTGAATCATCAAACCCGTTTTGCGGGAGGGTGGAGGGAGAGGTGAGCAGCTGTCAGGCAGCCAGGCTAACAGCTGTGTGGGCTTGCTCTCCTCCTCTCCCTGAGGGGGAAGGAGGAAGGGCCTGGGCCCAGTAACCTCTCTGAGCCCTGTGTTCTGGAATAGAACCTGGAGAACGATGAGGACGGAGCCCAGGCCTCTCCGGAGCCGGATGGGGGAGTCAGCACCAGGTCAGGGCCAGGTGGGGACCCATCCTCTACCTCCGCTCCTGGCTCTTGTGCCCCAGGTCCCTGGCCAGTCTTCCACCCAGATCACCCAGCTCTCTCACAATGTCCTACAAGGATTCCTAGCCTGATCCCCACTTCCCTCGCGGGTTCCCCTGTCCTGCAGGGTCACCCTACCCCAATGCCAGACCCACCCACCCACCCCCACCAGGCTCTTTATCCTGAAGAAACCCCCCAGCCTGCTCTGGCCCCTACATTCCCACAGTCACCTGTCCTGCAGGAATTCCTAGCTTGGCTCCCCAGCCTTTCTCCACCTTGAGTCCTGCAGAGACCCCAGACCTTGAATTCCTCATCACCCTGTCTCCTCTCAGTGCCCCCATCCCGTAGGAACACCCAGCTGTAGTCCCTGCACCATCCCCCACCACCCCTTCCTTGCTTCTCCGGCCTCTCACTGGGCCCAAATGGCCTGCAGGGATTCCAGCCGAACGTCCATCCGCAGCTCGCAGTGGTCCTTCAGCACCATCAGCAACACCACCCAGCGCTCCTACCACGCCTGCTGCAGGTGAGGCTTGGCCCTGCTCAAGCTCCCTGCGCTCTGTGCCCCCAGAACAGGTGGCCCGGGCTTTCCCCTTCGGTCCTCTGGGTGGGGGAAGGGTAACAGGAGGGAGTTGGGCTCGTGTCACCTCTCATACCTGTCCTGCTCTCCTGCCACCCAGCTGGACTCAGCACCCTTTGATCCAGAAGAACCGCCGGGTAGTGCTGGCCTCCTTCCTGCTCCTGCTGCTGGGGCTGGGTGAGTGCCCTGAGGGTCCCCTGCCTACCCCCATGAGGGGCCCATCCTCCCTTCGTGCCAGCTGTGCATCCCCCTTGGCACACCGAGCCTCCCTGCATCCTGAGGAGGAAGCTGGCTACCATCACCCCACCCCCATTTTACAGGTGAAGAAACTGAGGCCTTGGGAGGAGCAGGCCCAGCCTCCTGGTCACACAGCCAGGAAATTACACATAATTGAAATGGAACTTGGTTCGGTGCTCTACACTTAACTTTTCTTTTCTTTTCCTTCCTTCCTTTCTTTTCTTTTTTTCCTAACTTACCCCCACCGAATCCATCAGGGAGCAGAAGAGTAACCGCTCTGCCATTTATTCTTTGTCTGCTTGGAGCCAGGTGCAGCGTAGGCTTATTTCCCCCCTTATGGAAGTCACACAGCAGGTGAGAGGCAGGGCCGTGAACCTGAACAGGGACAGGTGCTCAGGGATATCCCTGCCAACCCAGTCTCCAGGGCACCTGTCGTTTCCCCTTCTCCAGAGTCTGAGTGTGGATGAGGACCTGTCCCTGCCCCTGGCTGGGCACATCCATTGCCCAGATGGGGGAACTGAAGCCCAGAGCAGACAGATCGCACAGCCAGATGTTTTTGGACTCGGTCTATGGGGCTGAGGACTCAGGATCCCCAGAAAGGACAGGGGTGGGGTCAAGAGGGGCCTGTAAGGACAGCCCAGCTGTGGCAGCTGCTCTTCCTCCTCCAGAGGGGTCTAAGTCCCCTGGCCAGAGAGCTGAGCAGCAGCCTTAGTTCATCTCTGGGCATCTTGGGGGCAGGGGGAGATACTGCTTTTCCAGCAGCCACTGCAAAGCTGGGCACTGGTCACACTGGCCACCTGCCTTACCCCCTTTCATTCTCTCAGTACCCATGAGGGCAAGCACTAATACCATCCCAGTTCAGAAGTAAGGACAGAGCCTCAGGCAGGTGAAGGGACTTGCTCAGACCTCAGCTGGGAAGTGGATGAGCTGGGATTTAAACCCACATCACGGACATTACCTGGAGGTCACCTTAGACATGTAAAGTGCCTTTGCAGGAATTAGAAAAACACGCCTCCTCTGAGTGGGCAGGGCCCCCAGCCCTAAGCCAAGGGGGTCAGTAGTGTATCAGTCCCCATGTGTACTCTTTTTGAGGTGCCCTGTGCAGGGTACAAATCCCATAGCAGTCCATGGTGGTCCTCAAGCCTCCATGCTATATCACCGCCCTTGCTACAGAGCTCAGCTCCCTAACTCCCCCCAATCCCATTTTCTAACTGGGGGCCCAGGACTCTCTGGGTCTGAAAAGTTGATCCAGCCATGACTTCCCCAACACCCACTGTCCTCAGCCAAAGTCCACGTCCCTTGCCGGGGTCTCCAGGCCCTGCCAAACTCCTCGAGCCTGGGCACTTGTCTCTCCACTCTTGCAAAATCAGGAAGCTCCTAGAAGGCCCCAAGTTCCTTCCATGGGAAGGAACTTTGCCATGCTGTTCCCTCTGTCTAGAGCACTCCTTTCCTTTTCTGCCTGCACAATCCCCACAGCAAAGCCTCTGGAGTCAGGTTGCCTCCTCCTTCTGAATGCAGCTCTCTGCCTCAGTTTCATCTTCTGTGAAATGGGGATGATCATATCTTTTTCATTCAGTCACAGTGACAATAAAGCAGTGCAGGTAACAAGCTTAGCCCAGTGCCTGGCTGCACCTGATAAGTGGTAACTAAATGTTACCTGCTGTTGCTACTGCTGCCTCTGCTCAGCTTAGTGGCCACTGCCTCCAAGAAGCCCCTCCCTGATGCCCCAGGCTCTAGTGCTGCCAGATCTGGCCCTCCTGCAGCCTGATCCCGAGCCCCCCGGGGTTGTAGCCTGGAGGTTCTTGTTGGTTGCACCACCAGGAAGGGCCATGAGAGCAGGGACCTCATTTGCCTTTCCCTGTGGGATTCTCAGTACCAGGCACACAGCAGGTGTTCCATAAATATTTGTTGATTGACTGAAAGAGCACACCAAGGAGCAGAGAAAAATCTCTTTTGGGACATTCCCCACGGCCTGCCAGGGGCCCTGCTCAGAAAACACAGAGCTTGGTGAGCTTCCCAGGAAGGGTCTATGGCAAGAGAACCTTCAGTTCAGGTTGGGGATACCATTGCTAGGGCCTAAGCCTTGCTGGGGGTTGTGGGTGGAGGACCCCGCCCTGGCCCCGGCGCCGGCCCCCTCCTCCCGCCTCCCCTCCTCCCGCCCTCACCCTCGCGGCTCCATCTGTGTGCAGTGCTGATCCTGATCGCCGTGGGACTGGAGGTGGCCCCCTCGCCAGGTGAGCGCCCCCTCCTACCTCCGCAGGCAGCGGGGGTCCCCCTCAAGGGAAGAATTCCTCGGGGACCCGCGAGTCCCTAGGCCCCTAGGAAGTTTGCTTCCGCCTTCCTAGCAGGAAACGGCCCCTTCTACCGCGGACAGTGACACTTGCCCAGGCAGTGACCCGTGAGCCCCGCCCCGTGCCCCCCAGCCTTGACTCGGCCCCTCTTGCTGCAGGTGTCTCCAGCGCCATCTTCTTCGTGCCGGGCTTCCTGTTGTTGGTTCCCGGAGGTGCGAAGGGGCTCCGGGGCGGGGCGGGGCGGGGCGGGGGGGGGGCGGGGGGGGGCGGGGCGGGGCGGGGGCGGGCTGGGCTCTGGGCGGGGCCCTCGGCGCTGACCGGCCCCGCCCCGCAGTCTACCACGTGATCTTCATCTACTGCGCGGTCAAGGGCCACCGGGGCTTCCAGTTCTTCTACCTGCCCTACTTCGAGAAGTGAACCGCGGACGGGCAGCCGGTATCCAGCCTCGTCTCCGAGCGGCCCCAGGAGGCGCTCCTCGGGTCCGCTCGGGCTCCCTCATCTCCAGGGAAGAACTCCGGGACCCCGGAGCCCCCAACCCCTCGAAGTTTGCTCAGGAAGTTTGCCCAATACACAGGCCTGGAAAAGTCGCCCCTGGCCTGTTCTGTGCCTTAACTTATTCTTGGGCCGTGGGGCTGCTGGGTTGGTGGTGTTTTGTGCTAATAAAAGAATGTACTTCATTCCAGAAGAGACCACTGATCCTTCTTTCCCACCAGCCCTGCCCAGCCCACCAGCCGGGCCGCAGTCCCGCTCCTGTAAAAACTGAGGAAAGGGCTGATGGAGCTGAGGGGCTCCAGGACCACCCGTCTTCTCATTGTGACAGTCCTGATGCTCTAAGACTCGCTTCTGCACTTTGGGGGCAGATCTGGGCCTGGGACTCTGTCCTGCAAGTCTGGAGGAGATCCCTCCAGCTTCCCATTTCCCCCTGCCCTTAGCAGGGTTGGCCCTGCCCATTCCTCTACCTGGAGGCGCAGCATTGGTGCCTGCCCCAGGTGGCCCTCGCCAAGGGCACTCAGATGACGCAGGCCTGGGCCCTGGAGGCTGGTATCCTGGTTGCAGCCTGGCTCTGGGGCCCTGGACTGCCACAGCCAGCTCGGAATGTGGGCCATGACAAGACAGCAGCCCAGCCCTCTCCGCCCACTGCCCTACTTCCCAAGTCCCGGGATTGGGAGAAGTAAGGGCAAAGACAATGGGAAAGGGCCGGTATCACAGAACCTCAGTGATTGGAGACTCTTAGAACCACAGAACGTTGGAAACAGACCATCTCAGACTTTTGGAAAGCCCAAGCATCTCAGAATCTTGAGAGCCAGGAAATAGAATCTTTGAGAATCCTGCAATCTGAAATCCTAATAGCTACCATTTATCAAGCTCTTAGAAGGCAGCAGGTCCTGTGCTAAGCACTTAACACAGGTGATTTCTAATAATCACCACCTTAGCCCCATTTTATAGATGAGGAAACCATGGTCCAGAAAGACTGATTCACCCAAGGGCAGAATCGAACATAACCCAAGACTTCCAAGACACCTGGGTGTAAGAGGGAGAGGAGAGGATACAGAGCACGTGTGTCCCCAGCTGACCACCCAAGGGGCTGGCTGAAGGACCACAGACTGGGGTAGATCTTGTTCATACACTTAGATGTTTACAGTCTTTCTCCCCCAGTAACCCACGAGTGCCACTGAGAAGAGACGTGGCCTGGTTTCCATTGGGTCTGCAGCAGCCAGAATGATGTCTTTAGGTTCCTGTAACTTTGTGGGAAGGATTAGCCCCCAGACCCCTTCTCCCACTCCTGTTCTCCTCGCCCATCCAGACTTCCCACCCTCAACCCCCAGTCAAGACACTTTCAAGGGCACCAGTGGGGTGCAGGAATTCCTAAACCCATGGTTCTCAAACCAGCTGTGGTAAAGGACCAGTTTTCATTTCTAATCCATCATGGACCAGTGCCTTGGCAAAATAAAATAAAACCTGGAAAAATGAAATAAAGACATACAGAATATAAGCCCACAGTCTGTATTACCAGATTTATCAGACGTAGAATTACATTTCAATGACTATAATCAGAACAAACATAACAAGAAAGGAAAATTGTGAAAACCGCTGTGAGCAAATAGGCAATTAATATAGAAAGTTGCTACTCTGCCCGTAATTTTTTGTCATTCCATGATCTTACCTTTTTAAATTATTTTTTAAAGATTTTATTTATTCATTTGAAAGAGAGAAAGCACAAGCAGGGGGGGAGAAGGGAGGGAGAAGCAGACTCCCCGCTGAGCTGGGAACCCGACATGGGACTTGATCCCAGGACCTTGAGATCATGACCTAAGCCGAAGACAGACGCTTCATGACCTAAGCCGAAGACAGACGCTTAACCATCTGAGCCTCCCAGGTGCCCCTCCACAATCTCAACTAAACAAAGTTATTCCAGAAGTTGTGATTCTCCATATTATAAGACTACAGCACGTGTCAGACCCGATATGGTCCCTGGGCTAAAAGTGGTTTTTACATTTTAGTAATGGTTGGGGGGAAAGTAAAAGAATAGTATGATTTAAATAGTTTCAAATAGTACGATTTAAATAGTACGATAAAAGTGGATAAAATTCAAATTTCAGTGTCAATCAATCAAAGTTTAGTTAATTCATTACTGAATTTCCGGCCCATCCACAACTATTCATTTCTGTGTTGGCCGTGGCTGCTTGGGGATACAGAGCTGGGCAGTCGTGAGAGAAACCGTATTTCCTCCAAGCCTAAAATCTTTACACTGTCACCTTTTACAGGAAAAATTGACCAACCCATGGTCCATGTGAACACACGGACAGAACACTGAATCACAACCTTTAAAGTTTCGCATGACCAGTGTGCTTCACTTGGGCTGGGTAATTTATGTAATCCCAACTGAGCTGACAGTAGCCCTATCCTCAGGAGATAATGAAGCTCTAAATGTAGCTTCTTTCTTTGTTGAAAAATACATCGATATTTGTGTCCAGACGAGAAACGTTAGATTTCCTTAGTGAATTATGCCTCATTTTACCCCTAATGCTTTTTGCCTTATAGCCCATTTCTGTTTGCTCTCCCTGTACTTAAACACTGTTTCTTTTGGTTTCTTTCATATTTTCCTGGTAAATCTGTTTTCCAAGCCATCACTTTCGGCCTTTCCATTTTCGTTGTGCTGCTTGAGTGTGTCTTAGATCCTGCACTCAGCTGTGGGGAAGAGCCCGGCATCTGCCCTTTGGTGTCCGCTCTCTGTCCTACAGTAGAAGGACCTCTGGTCTTTAGCTGGGTATGTGGGTGCCCCAAATAAAGACTACATTTCCCAGCATACTTTGCAGCTACATGTACCAGGTGAGGAGCCCTACCTAATCCGGTATGAGTGGTTCACCTTTGTCCCCTTTTGTCCTTTGTTCCTGCCTCCAAACCTGCCACCTGGAAAATGAACACACCTGGGGATACCCCAGGAATGGCAGGCAGCTAGCAGGACCTTGGGTCCCTGAAGACCATACAGCTGGATTTCACCTAAGAAATAAGATTTTATCCATTTTAAGGCATCTTTATTTCTCTGTCAGTCACAGGAAACCCAGTCTCATATTGTAACTTTCCTCTGGGGCTGAGATTCTCTCTTTTTTTTTTTTTAAGGTTTTATTTATTTATTTGACAGACAGAGATCACAAGTAGGCAGAGAGGCAGGCAGAGAGAGAGGAGAAAGCAGGCTCCCCTCGGAGCAGAGAGCCCGATGTGGGGCTCGATCCCAGGACACTGGGATCATGACCTGAGCTGAAGGCAGAGGCTTTAACCCACTGAGCCACCCAGGCGCCCCCTAAGATTCTCTTTTAACCAAAAACTTAATCAGCTCATAATTATTGGAATTCTTATTTTTATTTTATTTTATTTTTTTAAGATTTTATTCTTTTTATTTGACAGAGATCACAAGTAGGCAGAGAGAGAGGAGGAAGCAGGCTCCCTGCTGAGCAGAGAGCCCGATGCAGGGCTCGATCCCAGAACCCTGAGATCATAACCTGAGCCGAAGGCAGTCTTTAACCCACTGAGCCACCCAGGCGCCCCAGAATTCTTGTTTTTAAAGGATTATTTCTGCCTTCTGTTTTTGTTTGTTTTGTTTTGTTTTTTAACATAGGCTCCATGCCCAGCGTAGAGCCCAACTCGGGGCTTGAACTCGTGACCCTGAGATCACAACCTGAGCTGAGATCAAGAGTCGGATGCTCGGGTGGTTCAGTGGGTTAAAACCTCTGCCTTTGGGTCCTGGTCCCAGGGTCATGGGATCGAGTCCCGCATCAGGCTCTCTGCTCAGCTGGCAGCCTGCTCCCCGCTCCCCGCCGCCTTCCTCTCTGCCTACTTGTGATCTCTGTCTGTCAAGTAAATAAATAAATAATAAAATCTTTAAAAAAAAAAAAAAAGAAAGAAAATTCTATCTCTATTTCTATACATTAATGATTCCCTTTTAATGGTTAACAAATTCTAAACTGATCAGTGAATCCTCCTCTAGGAAAGATGAGAAAAAAGATATTAGCATGTTTAAAGTATCCCCCCCTCATCTTCCATTTTATTTTGTCTATTATTTTAGTCCCCCCTTATTTTCAAAATCCCCCAAATTAATTTTTTTTTTTTTTTACAGTTAATGCTTCTTTGAATCCACCAATGTGTTTACTGATCGCTTTCCTGACCATGATTTAGTACATACTCTGCTTTTGTTCAGGTCTGAATTTCCTTCTTACTGAAGCCATCCCTTCCACAAGAGCACATGGCTGGGAAACTCTTCCCAACGTTTATTTCCTGAAAAAAGTTAATGTTTCACCTTCCTTCTTGAATAACTATTCAGTGAGGGATAGGCTTCTTGGCCGGCAATCATTTCTTCTAGGCCTGATGACCAGCTAATCTCGTTGTCTTCTGGCACTTACCGCAGGCAATGAAAAGTCTTTGCAGAGCCGAATAGCTCTTCCTCGGTGAGCCATCGGACTTTTGTCTCGAGACGAGTTGTTCATAGGGTTTTCCTTTCGTGACAGGGTTGTTAAGCCCATCGTGTCCTGTGTTGAAGCGTGCCCTTCCAGTAGCTTCTCCCTATCTGTTCAGCTCTCCTGCCTAATGTGCAAGCCTGAGTTTCAGGTTCCTTAGAGTAGCTTTTTCCCCTCGAGGCCCTGGACATCTGTACCCTTGCCACTTCCTCAGGCCGGTAGGTGGAAATATATTTGATCCTCTCTTCAAGAACAGGGTAGCTCTTTGCGACCCCGAAAGGTAGTCGGGCTCACATTCTGTTCCTTGGTCTCTCTCTTACAGATCTTCTGTCACTCATAAGTGTCAGAGCCGGGGCTCCGGAACTTCTCTCTATGCTGAGGCCCCCATGGTGTCCCCACTCTCCCACCACCCAGCTTTGAGTTCTTGCCTTGTCTTTAGTACCTGGGGTCACCCCTGGCTTTCTTTCAAGTTAAGCTTTTTTTTATATATATTTTTTTACACAATAATGGGAGGCACAGCTGTCACCCTCCCAATTCACCACGCTACCAGAATCCTGCCAACGCTGTCCCCCTGTCTTTGAATGCTGCAGTGCCCAGGAGCTTGTTACCTCCCAAGTTCCGGAGAGAGCCAAAATCTTGCTCATACTGGAGAATGAGAGGCAGCTGGGGGCAGGTTTCCTCCCGGTAGCTCGGCGGGGAGGCAGGTGAGGATGCGGGTGGGTGGGTGACCGCACAAGCACCAGCCAGATGTTGTCAAGGTTCCGAAGCAGCCTGGGAGCTGCTGGGTCTCTTCCATTCTGGGGCCTCGTGAGGAGGGTGTATAGCGTGAACCCTGCTGGCCTGGGGCCAGAGGGGCAACACGTTCTCCCTGCTGGAGCCTCAGTGGGTGAGAAGCATCATCACAAACTCTGGAGGAAACAAGGGGCAGGGCTTGGGCCAGTCCGGGTTAGGGATCCCAGGACACGCTGGGCTCCTCCTGGGCGCTGGAAGGGTGGGGGTGGGATGGGAAGGAGACTCACCGTCAAAGTCTACGGTACCATCCCCGTTGAGGTCCACATCTCTGAGCATCTCATCCAGCTCAGGACCCACCAGCGGCTCCCCCAGCAAAGCTGGTGCTGCCTGTCGCAGCTCTGCCATGGTGATCCGTCCATCTCTGTCCCTGTCAAACTAGGATTCCAGCAGGGCTCAGCCCCTCCCACCCAAAGCTGGCTCTGCCTGAACCCGTCTCTATCTTGCCACATCCTGGGCCTGGATGCCCCCACCTGCGCCCATCCAAACCCTCCACCTCTTCCCAAGCTGGGACAGCAAGCCCCCTGCTCCAGGAAGTCTCCCTGGGCAGGTCCCCCAGCTGAGAGTGAGCTGGACCTTCCCCAACCCCTCCCTGGCCCTAGGCCCCCTATCTGCAGGGCCGTGGGCCTCCAGAGGCTGAACCCCACCCCCAATCTTTCTGGCCCGGATGAGAGGCCAGCAGGTCTGCTGTCCAGTCACCCAACCAGCACCCGACTCGACCACACTCCACACCTCTCGGAAGGCGATGCGCAGCTCCCGCACCCCCAGCATGTGCGCCGTCTCCTCCCTCAGCTTTGGGCTCATCAATTCCACAAACTCCTCGAAGTCCACGCGGCCACCCACTGTGGACCCAAGCAGAACGTCACGATGGAAAGGGCCGGGCCCGAGAAGGGACGTCGCAAGCATCACAGGTGCCAGCCTCTACCCGGCTCTGCATCTGGGAAGGAATCCTCAGTATCCAAGCCCTTGGGGGTGCAGGGGAGAGGAGGCGGGAGCCCTGCTCTCCACGGGGACTACAGGGCGAGATGCTTGGGTGCTCTCAGTGAAGCACGTGAGTGTGGGGGAAGGAGCCCAAGGTTTGGACCCAGGCAGCTCCAGGTTCAAACTCTGCCTCAGCTGCCAAAGGGGCATGGCCTTGGGGGACTCATGAACCCTCCTTCCTCATCCTGGGGCAAAGATGAGAGGACCCACTCTTGGGTGCTTTTGGGGTGGCAGTGCATGGCTCTTACATGCTGGGACCCCATGGGCAGCAATAAATTCTTCTTAAGAAGTGTGCCCAGATGGTCTCTTGATTCTAAGCTACCATCCACTGTAAAAAGCACCAATGGGCAAATAACAGCTTTGGGGAAAAGAAAAGAAGCACAACACTGAAGGTTCGCATTAACCGTAAGTCACATCCCATTTTGGAAACCATAGAAAAACCAAATGCAGGTGTCCTGGAATGAAGGTAATCTGATATTTGACAAATCAGCTAATGATAATCACAAGTGCCCCATCTATCTGATACTTAATCGCAAAGAAAGGCCAGCATTCGGTCACACTAGGCCTCACTGAACCTCGGAGGTTCTTTTCAGGGACCTCAGGAGGGTCAGAGAGACACAGAGAAGAGAGCCAGCTGGGAACATTTTATCACTAGTATCACAGAGACAGAGGGGGTCCTTAGCCAAGCCCCAAGGGTCTCTTGGATCACGGGTGACTTTCATGACCACTGCACCTGACAAGGCTAATGTCAGATGGTCAGAAAGCCCTAGAAACTGCCACCCACTCCCACCATCACCCCTGCAGACTCCCAGAGCCACCTCCCGCCACCTCCTCGTCATCCCCCAAACCACGAAACTCAGAGAGGACCGGGGCTGCCCAGCCTGGGCGCAAAGTTAGGTGACTCCCACCCCACCCTGCCCTGGGACAGTGGGGGTCAGTCACTGACTCCTCATCTTGACGTGCTGGGAGACCTCGATGAGCTCCATCTCGGTGGGCATGTAGCCCAGTGTCCTCATGCAGTCGCCCAGCTCCCGGTAGCCGATGTAGCCATCATGGTCAGTGTCAAACTCCTCAAAGGCGGCCTGCAGCTCTGCAGGGAAGGGAGGTCAGGCCCAGGCAGCCTGGGTCAGGGACCCCTCTCACCCACCTCTGCCAACAGCCAGGACCACTCACCATCCAGCTCCTCGGGGCCCAGCTCGCGGTCCTGCAGAAGCATAGTCCACCATGTCCCTGGGGCCCATCCTTCCTCCTCCAGCCCTGGGCCACGATGGCCTGGGCAGGGCCAGTCCCACAAGGGCAGGAGAAGGCATCTGACTCCCATGGGCCCCTGGAGAAGACATGACCACCCCCCTTCCTGCTCCTGGGGCCCAGAGCTCTCACAGAATCCTGGGTCTGGAGCAGAGGTGGCTGGAGGCCTGAGTACCAGGAGCAGAGCAGGCCGAGTCCAAGGGCACAAGTCCCTGCCCCACCCCCAACCCCACTCCCAGCCCACGCCCCACCTGACCTTCCCGAAGATGCGGTTGAGCAAGGGTCCGTATGTCTTCTGAGCAGCATCGTGCTGGGGGCCAGAGCGATGCCGGTGGGACTGGCGACGGGAGGCTGGCCCTGGGGTTGCAGGACCTGTCCCTTCCTGTCCTCCAGTCCCAGAGGGGTTCCTGCTGCTCCCTGGGGCCTTGGGACCCGGGAGAGGGGTCTGCTCCTGAGAGCTGCCAGCACCCTTCTGGGACCCTCGGAGCCCCCTCTCCTTCTTGCTCCTCTTCCTGGTCAAGGGGAGGCCCTCAGCACTACTCCTGGAAGCCACGACCCCTGCAGGAGGCTTCTGTGGGCTGGGGGCCGGGTCTGGGCCATGCAGCCCCCTCGCCTGCTCTGCGGCCATGTGGGGAGGGACGACGGGCTCAGAGACTCAAGACCAGGGAGCACCCCTGGTTCTCAGGAACCATAAAGCTGCTTATGCACCCCTACCATGAGAACCGATGGCCGGCGGGGATGGAGACTTGAAGGGGATTAGGGTAAGTGAGGCAGGCAGCGCAGGCCCTAATCCGGACCCTCTGCCTGGGGGCAGAGCCACATGGGTGAAGAGAACTGTCCCCAGCCACAGGGGTGCCAGGACACAAGGCTACAAGGAGCTTAGGACTCTTGCTCCGCCCCCCACGAGCTGGGAGGCCCAGCAAGTTCACCTCTGGGTCGCCTTGTCTATGAAACGGGAGCAGGGGGTGGGAGGGGCATATCGCTGAAGAGGCAGGGACTCTCTGTCCTTGACTCCAGTCCCCAAATCCAGTCGTGTGACATGGGCAGGACTTAGCTAAGAGAGGACAAGGGAAGTCACGTCAGGAAGCAGAGTGTGGGCAAAAGCTGGGAGAAGGGAGAGACTAGGATGAGTCGCCCACAGCAGCCCCCTGACGGCGGGACACTGTGGCCAGAGCGGAGGGTGTATGAAATGGCAGAAGGGAGGCCCAATCACAGAGGCCTTGAATGCCAGAGTGAGGGACATGGAGGGGATGTCAGAAGAGGTGGACCCTAGAGGCGGGGGGAACCCAGAGCCTGCTCGGAGGCAGCCGAGGAGCTGCCTCGGAGGCAGGGTGAGGAGGTTTTAGCCCTCTGGCTCTATCAGGGATGGGGTGGCCTGGCTGGTCACTTGGCCCTGCTAGGCCGGGGTTAGGGTTTCCCGGCGAGCAGCCCCATGAATGATTGATGTCTTCTCAGCTTGGGTTTCATGCCGGCCGCCTTAGCGCCGCCGGGCGCCACGCAGCAGGCCCTGCTGGCATGGGGCCCCGCGGATGGTTGGACCCCTGGGCAGGCAGGCACGCCCCAGAGCGCACCTCACAGGTAAGCCAGGCCTCACCTGTGGGGGCTTGGGGCAGCTCAGGGCTATGATCCAGCAGAGGCTGGAGCTGGCAGAGCAGGGTCTGCCTGAGGAAGAGGCTTAGCGGGGAGGAGAGCCCCGGGATACAGGCAGAGGGGCCGGAGTGGTGGGCCACAGGCAGGAGCCGGCCTTTGGGGGCTGTCTACATGCTCCCTTGACTCAGCTCTCAGTACCTCCTCCACTCTCAGAGGGAAAATTCCTCCACCCATAAGGTCCATGAGGGAAGGTGGAGGCAGGGTGGGAGAGGCAGCAGGCCTCCAGGGTCCCAGTAACGCTATCCTCATCACGCTGCTGAGCCCCGACCCCATCTGTGTGGTGGCCTCAGAGGACCACCTTCTGCCTGAGCTGTGAGAATGAGGACAGGGCCCCAGAGGGAGGTCAAGGATGATGAAGAAGGTTGAGCTGCTTCTGGGACGGCTGTCCTGGCCTGAGCTGCAGACCCCCACCTGAGTTCAGGAACTGCACTTGCTGCGGGGAGGGTCTCCTCTGGCCCAGGATCCTGGGACTCCTACGGGCCCATGGGGCCCTGGGCCTCCCCCGTCTGGGGATCTTAAAGCACTTGAATCCCAAGATACCAGATGGGAAGGGGCCTGCGGCAATCTGACCAAGCAGTTTGCACAAACTGTCCTCCCTGGAGCCCCAGGGGTGCTCCCCCTCCTTTAATCTGAGCACTCTCTTCTCGTTCATGTGGGAGTTCTGCTGTGCTATTTTATTTGAAGAAAACATTCACAGCTTTAAAAACATGTTCGAAAGCCAACTCTATCGGGTGCACTGGGATCCCGAGTGGCAGAATGGTTAGGTGTGAGTTTCAGGCCTGGAGCCTCTGTCCTACCTCTGACCTTGGGCGAGTCACCGATTATCTGAACCTTCCTTCCCTCTCCTATAAAATGGATTGTCTGAAGACTAGGTGGCGTCGTCTACTTAAAGGCCCCGGCTGAGGCTAACCACCCAAAAGGCGATGACGACGGCTCAGAGAAGGACAGTGACGTGCCTGGAGATACACAGCACCCTCTCTCTCATACTCAGTCCCTCATGATTCCATTGATCCATCAGGCCCCCACTCTGTGGACAGCACACAGGGGACCTCGGACGGACACCGCGATGGAAGCCGACCCGGGTGCCGCTGGCCTCGGGCCCCGCACAGAGCCAGACGATGAAGACTACTATCCCCAGGGTGTCTGGGACACGGTCTTCCTGGTGGCCCTGCTGCTCCTGGGGCTGCCGGCCAATGGGCTCATGGCATGGCTGGCTGGCTCGCAGGCCCGGCAGGGAGCGGGCAGGCGGCTTGCCCTGCTCCTGCTCAGCCTGGCCGTCTCGGATTTTCTGTTCCTGGCGGCGGCGGCCTTCCAGATCCTGGAGATCCAGCGGGGAGGACACTGGCCACTGGGGACGGCGGCCTGCCGCTTCTACTACTTCCTGTGGGGTGTGTCCTACTCCTCCGGCCTCTTCCTGCTGGCGGCGCTCAGCGTGGACCGCTGCTTGCTGGCGCTGTGCCCGCGCTGGTACCCGGGGCACCGCCCGGCCCGCCTGCCCCTCTGGGTCTGCGCCAGCGTCTGGGTGCTGGCCACGCTCTTCAGTGTGCCCTGGCTGGTCTTCCCGGAGGCCGCCGACTGGTGGTACGACCTGGTCATCTGCCTGGACTTCTGGGACAGCGAGGAGCTGCCCCTGCGGATGCTCGAGATCCTGGGGGGCTTCCTGCCTTTCCTCCTGCTGCTCGTCTGCCATGTGCTCACCCAGGCCGCCACCGCCTGCAAGACCTGCTGCCGCCGGCCGAGGCCCGCGGCCTCCCGTGGCTTTGCCCGCGTGGCCCAGACCATCCTGTCCGCCTACGTGGTCTTGCGGCTGCCTTACCACCTGGCACAGCTGCTGTACCTGGCCTTCCTGTGGGACGTCTACCCTGGCTACCTGCTCTGGGAGGCCCTGGTCTACTCCGACTACCTGACCCTGCTCAACAGCTGCTTCAGTCCCTTCCTCTGCCTCCTGGCCAGTGCCGACCTGCGCGCCCTGCTGCGTGCCATGCTCTCCTCCTTCACGGCGGCTCTCTGTGAAGAATGGCCCGGCAGCTCCACGCCGGCCGAGCCACAGACCCAAGTGGATTCTGGGGGCCACACTTCGCCAGGGCCCATGGCCCAGCCACAGCTGGATTCTGTGGCCCCTCCGCAGTTGGATTCTGTGGCCGCCCCACGGGCAGACCCCACAGCCCAGCCACAGTTGGATTCCGCGGTCCCTCCACAGTTGGATTCTGTGGCTCCTCCACAACTGGATTCTGTGGCACCTCCACAGGTGGATACCACAGCCCAGCCACAGTTGGAGCCTGTGACCCCCCAACAGGCGGACCCCACAGCCCAGCCACAGTTGGAGCCTGTGGCCCCCCCACAGGCAGACTCCTCTGCCCAGCCACAGTTGGAGCCTGTGGCCCCCCCACAGTCAGATTTTGTGGTCCAGCCTCAGCTGAACTCCTCAGCTCAGCCCCAGGTGAACCATGAAGCCCAGTCCCATTTGGACATTGTGGTTCAGGCACAAGAGTGCCCTAAGGCCCAGACCCTCGGAACCCCTTCTGGCTCAGCCCCCAGGCCCTGTGATGAAGCTCCCTCTGCTCCCTCCACAGATCCCACCCCAGAAGCCCCCGAGAACCCAGCTGTGCCTGCTGCCTGTGAGGGAGAAAGCCCCAGCAGTGTCCCCCCAGAGAAGACAGGCCCCCCGTGAGGGTCTCGGAAAGCCCAGGCCATCAGGGCAGGGGAAGAACCTGAGGGGGACAAACGGAGCAGCCAATCAGAGCAGAGGGGAGCCACGGAGGACGTCATTGTGGAAAACCCCACCCAGTCCCCGGGGCCTGGCAGGAGGACTTTGGGGAAGTGAAAAACGAAGCACCAAAATGTCCCAGGCAGTTTGTCGCGAACGTCTTGTCCCCACTCAGGTCCCGCTTGTCCCCTTCACCCAGTGGCCCAGCAGTCGGAGCCCATGGTCTCCGGCTGGGCTCTGCCCCCGACAGCCCAGACCCCACTGACAGTCTCCCCCAGCCTCAGTCCTGCAGGAGACAGCCAGCAGGGGTGACCTCCCCGGGCTTGCGCTGACCTCCCTTTGATCCTTCCCTCCCTCTTCTCCTCCCTCTCTGACCCTCTAACGTGGGGCCAGAGGACGCCAAAGGAGGAAGTCCCGGCAGAGAGGGAGGGCATTCAAGAGCCTGCAGGACCCTGGGGCCTAGGAGCCCATGCAGGCTGGCTGGGCCCCTTGCCCACAACAAGTGGTGAGAACTTCAGCAGGCTTCCCTCAGCAAGGCAGTGGGAGCAGAGACCAGAGCTACCACGCCCGGATTCCACTCAGGCTCCCGTGACTCTGGACAAGCCGCTTTACCCTCTCAGCTTCTGCCTCATCCGCTGGGTGGGGGGGTTAAGTCAGAAAGCATGGGAGGCACTCAGCTAGAGCCCAGCACACAGTAGGGCCTCAGGAATCAGAAGTCCTACCCTCACGGCCGTTTAGAAAGGTCCCTTGCAGGGGCTGGAGTCAAATGGGAGGAGATGCCTCCTGGCCTGGCGCTTGGGAGCTTTGAGACAGATCAGCTGTGCCTGTGACCAGTTCCGGGCCTCAGCCTCCCCCGGGGAGCCTGAGACAGTGTGAGGCCAACTCTGCGCCTCTCATGGCTCCAGAGGACTTCAGCGTCTGCTCCCTCCACTCAAGGGTGCAACTAGTGTCCACCCACCCCAGCCACCTGCCACCCAGGCTACAGAGTGTCCTGGTCCCGCCTCCAGCTGAGCTCCTTCTTTGCCCTCAACCCACAGGCTGCGGGGCGGGGGGGGGGGGGTTGCTGGGGGCGGGGGACAGCCAAAGAGAAAGCTCTGGGGACCAGCGGCTCCAGAAAGGGTACAGGCCCCCATGAGGTCGAGCCCCCTCTTCCCTCTCAAGCTGCAGACTCTGCAAGAAAAAGTAGGAAGAGTTGAAGTTCTCACTTCTGTACCCCCTTCCCTTTCACACCGGCGCTCTCTTCTAGCTGCCCCCTTCACCCAGCTTTCCCTCCCCCCACTGTGCTCCAGAACCATGAGCCCTTCCCCCTTTTAACTGACCCCAACATCCCCCCCCCGCCGCCCACCCCATCCTTCAAGCCTCCCTGACTCCTGGTGTAGACGACAGACACTTCTGTGCAGCCCTTCCAGGTCTGCCTCCATCTGAAAAAGGCAGCAGGCAGGGCGGGGGGTCTGGAGAGGTGCAGGGAGATCTGGATCCGGGTTGCTCGCCCCCTCTTCACCTCAGCGTTCTCCTCTGTAGAATGGGGTGGTGGTGTTCCCCTTGCGAGGGCTGGGCCCGGGGAAGGAAGCACGCTCAACAGTGGCAATGCTGGGGGGGCCCTAATTCTAGCATTTCCTGCCGACGGGACTGTGGACACTGAGGCTTCAGGAAAGAGATTTCTGAACGGACACAAATTTGTTGAATTCATTCATTTATTGAGCACTTGCTAGGTGACCTTCCAGCCAGCCCTCCATTCTAGGGACACATGGCCACATGGGGTGGGGGGCATGACCTCGGGTGCCCCTTGGGGGGTCTTTTGAATCCCAGCTCCACCATTCACCAGCTGTGTGATCTTCAGCAAGGCCCTTGGCTTCTTTGAGACTCAGTTTCCTCATCTGTAAAATGGGGATCAGATCAAGGGTCCCCATTCCCTAGGAGTGTTCATCTCTATGAAGTACTTGGATCCTTGCCTGGCAAAGAGTAAGTGCTGAGTAATTTGTTAGCCATTTATTTAATTGTACTGGTGGGCATCCCCAAGACTCACCCAGACCTGGGACTGACACTCGCCCAGGGGCCAGAGCCCACATGGCTGTCGACTAGGTATTGTCCCCTCCATTGTACTGCTTTCCACTTCTGCAAGAAATGCCCCACCCCACTGGGTGCATAGCCCCTGGAGCCAGTGTCCGGACTGGAGTCATCCTCGGGGCACTCTGCAGCGCCCTTCCCCCTTTCCCCAACAGGACACACAGAGCAGGCACGAAACCCCCAGTACCTGCTACCTGCCTTCAACTCTGGTCCCCATTCCAAACCCAGCCTGTGGGAGAGTGGGGAAGCCCCACCTCCAAGGTCGCAAGGGCAAATCTCCCCCGTAAGGGGAATTGCTATCCAGGAGAAAGAGCAGTGTTATGAAGGGTTTTGTGGGATGAAGAGGAGTTTTGTGTTAGAGGAATATGCACACCCAAGGCCAGAGAGGGTGAAGGCAGGGCTCCTCCCTGACATTCTACAGTCCATCTACCTCACCCCTAACACCTTGGGGAGGGGGGCTCCTGCTGCCCTCTAGGAGACGCGCCCCTTCTCCAGCCGAGAGGTGCATTTATTCTGAGTGGTGAATATGAACATTTTCAATTCTACATTCAGGACTGCTGTTCATTCATTCATTCAGCGTACAGGACTTGACCCCACGCAGTACGCTAGGTCTCCTTCTAGGTGCTGGGGATACAGTGGGAACAGGGACAAAGTGCCACCCTCAGTTTGCTGGCATTCTAGTGGGGCAGGGCAGACAAAAAGCAAATACACAAATAATTACATAGTAGAACATCAGATAGGGATTCAGGAGGATGCAGGAGGAACAAGTAAGGGTCAGGGAGTGACCAGCGAGGGAGGGGGTCTGAGATCTGGAGAAAGTGAGAGATGGAGCCTTTTCACAATCTGGGGGGAGCATTTCCAGACGGAGGGAACAGGATGTACCCAGGCCCTGGTGTTGGAAAGAAGGGGGTTTGTTTCAGGAGGATCAGTGTCACTGGGCCACGTGCCAGGCGAGGACAGAGGAAGGTAATGTATGGGGGGGGGTGGCACAAGGACTAAAGTTATTTCAAGTGTGACAGTGAGGAGCGTGGAGAGGGTTTGGGGTAGGGGGTCTAGTTTGGGCTTTAAACAAGCCCTGGCTGTTGCCTGGAGGGTACATTGGAGAAACAGGCTTAGCAGCTGCATTCCCTTTTCCAAAGCACCCTCATTCCTGTCCTTTTTTGGAAGGGTCAGCCTGTCCCGGGGTGTGTGGAACAGAGGGAAAAGCAAGGACTTTGGAGCCAAACAGATGGGGACTAAATCTTGGTAGGGTGACCTGGGACAGGCACCCTCCCCTCTAAGCTGTTTCCTCATCAGGGAGTGGGAAGGGGTTAAGAGGGTGTAAGCCCCAGCCTGCGTGAGACACAGGGGGGCCTCCTGCAGCCCCAGATAAGTCTCCTTCTGGCTTTGCTCTTCCCTCCTCTTCCCATCTACCTCTCTTTTTCAGGAAAAGGGACCCTGACCATCACCTCAAGGAAGATGAGGGAGGGGGGCCCCATGCGCCAGGGAAACCAGCCCCAGGCCGAGGGGACAGTTTGTGCCTGTCGGACTTACAGAGACACTTAAGTCCCCCCAGGGTGAGACAGGGACAGGGATGGGTAGATCTGAGGAGGCCAGTTTGGACTCCTGTCCCAGGAGCTAGCTAAGAGGGGTCATCTGCGGACACACCACTAGCCTGGGATCTGATAGGGGCATGTTCCCATTTCTATTTTTAATAAGGAGGTTCAGCAGGCCCCAGGGGTGTTCACCGAAAACAGTGGGTTGGCTGGGGCCTTCCACGCGCCCCTCAGAACACCGCTTCTGTATTTACTTTGTTCATCACGAGCGTGTAATTTTGTAACCTTTAAAAAGAGGCACGTGAATATATCGACTGTCAACCGGATACTGTATTTCGGAGTCGGGGGTTGACTGGGGCACCTGGAAGTATGCGCTGGGAAGGGGGCTTGGCACGGCGGGCTCCGTCCAATCCTGACAATCCCGAGGGCACGGCCAGAGGAGCAGGACCGGGAAGGCGCCGGGGTCGCGGACGACCTACACCCCGCAACCCGCACCCACTGCCCTTCCGACCCCCACCCCTATTTCCGCCCCTTCGCCCGGGAGGGACCCGGCGCCCGAGGGGCGGGGCTCGCCCAGGCACCGCCCCTGCGCTCGCCTAGCCCCAGCGATCGGGGCCTCCGGGGCCCACTTGCAGTCTCCCGCCCCGCCCCTCCGCGCGTGACCTCGGCCCCGCCCCCGCGAGCCCCCGCCCCGCCCCCCCCCCCCCCCTCCCCGGCTCCTCTGTCACTTCCTGATTCCCGCTTCCTGCTTCCCAGAGGCCGGGATCCGGAGCCGCCCGAGGCCGGTGCAGCAGCCCCCGGCGTCCCCGGTGAGCGCGGCGGGCCGGAGCTGGGAGCGCGAGCGCGGGACCGGGCGGGGCTGCGGGGGCGGAGCCGCGAGAGGCTGGGGTGGGGGGTCGCGAGTCCCAGGAGCCCTTACCCTCCGCGGCGCTCCACCCTCAGCCCCAAATCCCAGTGGCCGCCCAGCGTTTCCCCCTCTAGGTTCACCTTGGACCCCGCTCCGAGGACGCCCTGGGATGCTCTGCGGCCAGGAGCGGCATCCTGATCCCCCGCCCAGTCCCTGCCAGGCCCCCTGGGCCGGCCTGGAGCTCCCTGCAGCTCCCTGCACATATCTGCAGCCACTGCACATTCCCCGGGGCTCAGAACTCGGGCCTAGCGCGGCTCCACACTGGACACCTTTCCCCGTCACCCAGCTTCCATATCCTGGGCAGGAAGGAGCTCATTGGAACTGACTCGGACCCACAGAGGAGCTAAGCTTGCCCTGGCTTCCGCACCTCCCACCTCCCCCACACATATCAGAGCCGGGGAGGCGCCTGGGTAGGGTCCTGCAAAGCCCCTCGGGACTCAACCGTGTGGGCCTTGGGTCAGTGCGCTGCCCCCCCCCCACCTCGATGCCCCCTTGATGGGTGGCAGGGTCTGCATCTGTGACCCCGTTCTGTAACTGTGGAAACTGAAAGCCAAGACCCGGTTACGTCCTCCCCACCTCCCTTGCCCTGGGAGGGTTGAGGGCTGTTGGGATGGGTGAGGGCTGATGGAAGCCTCCCCGCCCTGCAGACATGTCCTTCCGCAAAGTGGTCAGGCAGAGCAAATTTCGGCACGTGTTTGGACAGCCAGTCAAGAATGACCAGTGCTATGAAGATATTCGAGTGTCCCGTGTCACCTGGGACAGCACCTTCTGCGCCGTCAATCCCAAATTCCTGGCTGTGATCGTGGAGGCCAGCGGCGGGGGTGCCTTCCTGGTGCTCCCCCTGAGCAAGGTGGGCTCCATGAGGGCTGGGGGAAGGACTGGAGACGGGCCACACCTGCCAGGCCTCTCTGCTCACCTCACTTTCCGTACCTTGCCCATCCCTACACCACTGTGGGCAGGTGTCATGATTCAGATTTATTGCCTCAAAGAGGTGTTAGCCCAGATGGAGAGAGGTTTATTACCACGGAGTCAGGGTCAAAGGCAACAAACATTTCCTTCTCCCCTTGACTGCCCCTCTCGTGCCCACAGACGGGCCGCATTGACAAGGCCTACCCGACGGTGTGTGGACACACTGGACCCGTCCTGGACATCGATTGGTGTCCCCACAACGACGAAGTCATTGCCAGCGGCTCAGAGGACTGTACAGTCATGGTGAGGCACGGGGCTGTGCTTGGCCCGGGTCACAGGTGTGGCTCAAGGCTGCCGGCAGCCGGGGCCAAGCAGAGGCTTCAACTGGTATCTCCCCGCCAACCCCCACGCCCCGCAGGTGTGGCAGATCCCAGAAAACGGGCTCACCGCCCCGCTCACAGAGCCAGTGGTGCTGCTGGAGGGACACACCAAGCGAGTGGGCATTGTCACCTGGCACCCAACGGCCCGCAACGTGCTGCTCAGCG